ATGACTTCGTTTCGAGTAAATTATGGACGCTACCCACTCAGGACACTTGGAATACATTGGACGAGCAGTATGGAGGAATATTGACACGTTTTTTGTGGACTTTTATGGACCTTTCTGCCTCGGGCACCATAGACCTCCATTATTTGAATGTCAGCAGACAGTAAGAAGCCTCCCAGATCTCCAGATGCATTTGAGATATCAAAAAAGTACTCCAGAGTGTTGTTCGGCATGGGGGTGAGTAGAAAATGAAGGCTAATCATGTTTTGGGTGTACTATTCCTTTAATAATTTACTATGCCATAAGTCATAATTATTTTTTGTTTAATCTTCTGCCCTCTGTTATCAGGTATATCTGATTGTGTACAATAGGATTTTAAGTTTTTACCATTAAATTATGCAAAAGGTGTCAGAGGCAAAACATTTCAGAAACCGTATGTATCAAATATGATACATTTGGCATTACAGGGTTGAGATGGCAATCAAATTTAAATTGTAAACATTAAAATATTTAAATTAATCTGTGCTGAAACAAAACAGTTTCAGCACAGATTAATTCAACATGTATAGGAGGGCCCCTAATGGCTCTGGGGGCCCTATAAGTAGCTCAGTTTGTTTATCCATTGGGACAGATCTGGTTTCTAGTTTGCAGCATCTGCTTGTTAGTGGATCAGCCTGTTAGTTTGCGGCTAGGTAGTTAGAAGCTAGCTAATGTGTTAGGCTGTGAACGTAGGAGTGAGGACCTCTTAGAAATGTGAAGCATTTAGGGGTTTTAGGTATCCAGCCATATTGCATTAAGGTATCCAATCATTGTTCGCCCTTCATAATGTAAGGCTTTACACATGGAGGAATTGTATGACTGTAACAGCAGCCCGCATGTGGTCATTGAAATTGCAAAGCACTCTTTATAGACTCAATTCAATTAAATTCACTACATTTTTATTGTGTCATTTAACACGTCATCGCAAGGCACTTTACAATTAAACTAGATCATACAGTCCAGTTGGTTCAAAGTTTCAAAGGAAAACCAGTTGATTGCATCGACTCATTGACTTGAAGGCAATCCCTCACACTAAGCATGCTTGTAGCGACAGTGGAGAGGAAAAACTCCCTTTTAACAGGAAGTAACCTCCAGCAGAACCAGGCTAAGTGTGAGCGGCCATCTGCCGAGGCCGACCGGGGTTCAAGGAGACAGAAGCAGACATAGAAAGGAACCTAGAAGCACTTATCTATAAATATTTTCTATGTTAGAAATGGTAATAGTAAACTAGCTCCACTGAGACACGTTTCATGTCAAAGGGATAAAAGAGTGCAGATAAAGTTAAGGGCTGATTTTAGCTGGTTCTTTACGAGTCGTTTTCCACAATGGCGGTCATACAAACAAAACAAGCCGGTAAGGTACCAAACAGGAGATACGCATAGTGTAGAGCGGCTGTAGTTTTGACCAAACAGAGGCCTCCAATTTTGGAGAGGTGTACCAGAGTGTCTGGTATATCTGCGTTAACTGCGACACACACGCTAGTCATTTCTATGTTTAGCAGAGAAACAGGACTAAGCACTGAAAGGAAGGCCCAACTCTATCATCTATACTCTTAAGGCCCATTCATACCTCACGTAAAAGACGGATACGGATACGTGTGGAGTGTTTCATACGTTCTAACCGTCGATTTCGTCCGTACTTTGACACGAAAATTGGGAGCTTACGCTTACGGACGAAACGGATCAATACGGAGCAATACTGCCGGAAACGGTGGGGGCGCTATTGAGTTTTTAGTACAAAATGTCAACAGAATCAAGTCTTGGACCATCGCCATGTTTTGATCAATGACGAATCATTGGCGCCCAGCACTGCCACCTAGAGGAAATACGGGTTATTGCGCACCTCAACGGATGGAGGTATGAAGGAGTCAACGGATAGAACGTACGGACAGAAATACGGACGTGCAGGCCAAACGTGAGGTATGAATGGGCCTTTAGGCGTTGATAGCAGCAGCCCAGCTGATATCTCTCTCCAGGTTGGTGACATTGCGTTTACTCCATAAAGATTACTTCTTCTTCAAAACGTCTAAAAACGTTAAAATTATGATGTCTTTCCATCTTATTTCCTCCATCTTTGACACAACTTGCTTTGTAGAATTCAGCCATAATCAGTAATCTTCCCCAGCAGACCATTAGTGCGTTGCGCTTCAGTGCGTGAGCGCTGTTGAAGCTTGACAGGAAGGAAGCCGTGTGAGCAGTTCCAAAGCTTTAACGAAAGGCTTTTTACTGCCCTGGGTGTTCATCCATTACCGTGCTCAGGTGTTAACAGGTTCCATGTGTGTTTACACTTCTTATATTGTTCCACATGTTTGCTGCCTCCACCTTCGGCACAAGGCTTTTGAGGACAATTATTACAGGACCTGCGGGAGCGCGGGGAGGGGAAGTGGGAGCACCACCCGCATTGAAATCACTTCCATGCTGCAGGAATTAAAACTCACCTGAGGAGGAGGGACAATTTGGAGGTGGCATCGACGTTGGGAAGGTGGTGAGGTGGTTTCTGCTGGAAACAATGAAAATGTCAGGGAGGAGGGGGGGGCGCTTGTAGTAGCTTTAAAGTGAACAGGGGCTCTTTTGACGGAGGCCTCATTAAATTTGCATATGAATGTAAACAGTTTACGCAGCTTGTGCTGCGCTAAAAGGCTAAACCTAATAGCTGCCTGTATGGGGGTGGGCTCAGCTGTGTGTCAACTTGTTTTCTTGCCTCTCTGGGCCCATTTCAGATTTGAACACTAATCTCGTCAAAGCCGGTAATCCTTCTGGGCACCCCGGTCGTTATTAATGGGATGTTTTCCAGTTTGACTCGGTCACGGTTAAGATGGGAGCTTTGGTTTGAGTTTTCCATAAGTGTTGTGGGTGTAATCAGTGTAATATAATCAGTAGTTAGATCGAAGGCGAACGGAGGCGCTGCTTGACACCTCTCTGCCACCACAGGACACCCATGGGTTAGCCAACAAAGTGGGATCAGGCTAAAGAAAACAGCCGTCACATTAGGCAGCCAGGGGACAGTGTTATTATTACAGGGCTAATGGTCCTCTGGGAGGCCTTGCGCCTTGCTAATGCACGCCGCCGCTAAGTGGTCAGCAGCTAATAGTGTTTTCCTGTCCTCCTAATGGATAGAAACGAGGGCTTCGCTTTAGCCAATGGACCTCAACAAATCCTTACAAGATGTCTTGTGAGTTGCAGTTGCTACGGTAACTGCAAAGGCCATAGAGTGTGAACTTTTCAACCCAAACACCGCCCCCCCCCTCCTTTTAATAACCCATTGTGTGATGCACACAACACACACTGCTCCAACCAGGACATTCAGACTCCCTTAAAATAAAAATGTAAATATTCCGGAGGAGTTTGGAAACTCCCGTCCAATGGGAACGCCGACCTCAGAAGGAAGCCGCTTCGCTTCTTTTTCCGTTTGCGTCCCGTATTCAGCAGGTTATTTATTGCTCTAGGAAACTTAAATCACTCTATTCAACTTGTATTTTCAGGCAGAAACAACAAAAGAAAAAAACCGAATGTCTTACGAATATTATCTTTAAACAAACATGTATTGTAAAGCAAAAGGAAAAATAAACCCGGCTTTTAAATCAATGCAACTCAATGAATGTTTGAGCCTGCAAGGAAAAAATATATAAACACAGAACTGCCTTCTCAATGAAACATGGTGGTGGCAGGGTGATGCTGTGGGAAACTCTTAATACAGCCAAGTGAAAGGATCTAAAAATGGCACCATCCTGAGCACTGCAAAAACGAGCCAAAAATGAGTTAAAATGTTTTAAATGAGGTGTATTTACGCTTGATTTGAGTAGGTAAATAAGATGATTTCCCAATGAAATAAGGATCTTTAATCTTTAAATAAGGTAATTAGATCATATACACTTGAAATAAGACAATGAATTTTTTTTCTAATTTTAAATGTAAATCGTCTTGTTCACACTTAAAGAAAAAATTACTAGATCTAGATTTTGTCCAGTGAAAATCATCCAGAAAGTGGTAAAAGATTTGCCTTCCAGCAGGACCTCCATGCTAAACGTAGAGCTAGAGCGATTGGAACGTATTAAACTGAAAAAATTTTCTATCCTTCAGCGGGGTAAAGTCAAAGTCCTGCACTCAACCTAAAGTAGAATCTGTAAAAAGGGAGGCCAGATACAAAAAAAAAAAAAAAGCAGGCCACACTTTTCAGATGGTATTCCTACAGAAGAATAAAATAAAAAATCTTACATTATAGTTATGCTTCATTTTGTTGATTTTACACATATAAACCACTGCTGTGAGGAAACATGCGCCATGTTTACTGAGAAGCACTATTTGATTCTACGGAAGAGGATTAGGGCCACTGAAAAAAAAAAAAATAAAAAAATGTAACTGATTTTTAAATTTTATTTCAGTTTAACATGGGAAAAAAGTCAGAATTCTGACTTTTTTTCTCAGAATTCTGAAATTAAAAGTCAGAATTCTGAAATTAAAAGTCAGAATTCTGAGAAAAAAGTCAGAATTCTGAGAAAAAAAAGACAGAATTCTGACTTTTTTTCTCAGAATTCTGAAATTAAAAGTCAGAATTCTGAGAAAAAAGTCAGAATTCTGAGAAAAAAAAGACAGAATTCTGACTTTTTTTCTCAGAATTCTGAGAAAAAAGTCAGAATTCTGAGAAAAAAAAGACAGAATTCTGACTTTTTTTCTCAGAATTCTGAATTTTCCCCCATACTAAACTGAAATAAAATTTAAAAATCAGTTAACTTTTTTTTTTCCCCCCACTGGCCCTCTTCCGTATGATTCGCTTATAACTCAACAGAACAATTAATTCTTTTTGAAGAATAAGCTCATTTAAATTTTGGGCTTTCCAAGAACTCAGGATGTTTCTAAAACCTTTTAGACGGGGTGTGACATCACTGCCACACCTCAGCATGGAGCTCACTTCCTGTTAGATCCTCTTATTGCCGTTTAAGAAAAAACAAGTCAACAGAAGAGAACCAGATTTAAATAAAAAGACACTTTAATTGAAGTTCTTTCAGACACACACACACAATCAAGCTTTTAGTCTGATCACAGAAAGAAGTGGAACATTCACTCTGATGAAGACGCACACAGGTCCGTTTTTACGCAGACAAAAATAGACATATTTCAATCTGACCAACAGGTTTGAGTCATGAAGCGTCCAGAGGAGTGTTCAGCTTTTTTTCTACCCTGGTGTCAGTGTAAAATCTTTCTTTCAATTCTTAGAAAAACAAAATGTGCAAATAAGACAACGTTTGGAATCCTTCAGCGTGTAGAAAGTCCAGGATCCTCTTGGGGAGTGGGTCCCTTCTCCACCCTCAGTCCTCTGCCCTCTCGGGTTTAAATACAGCCTTCTCTTTTTCAAGTAAAGTGCTCCTCTGGCAAACAAAACGGAACGACGCGAGATCAGTTCTGCGTCGTTTCCTGCTTGGGAAACATGGGAATGTCCTCAGAAGGCTAAGAAATAAAATAAAAGATGGCAGAGAAGCGACAGAGTCAGACAAACTCCAGCTTCCCGTGGCCGCTGTACATCCCCCAGTGCACCAGAGACATGATCCTGTCGCCGCCGGGCTCCGCCTGCCTCATCTTGTCGCAGGTCAGGCAGCAGTTCTCGTGGCCCGTCACCGGCACCATGCACTCCAGGTCCAGCTTGGCCACGTGGCCCTTCTTGGTGTGGTGGCCGTGGAAGCTGTAGTGGAGCCGCGACAGCATCTGCTGCCTCTGGTCCTGCAGCCGCTTGTTCTCGCTGCGCAGCATCCGCAGCGCCAGCATGACGAGCAGAACCAGGATGAGGCCGCCGGCGATGGGCACGGCGATCACCGCCGCCCGGAACCACACCTCCTTGGCCGAGGCCAGCTCCTGCACCCGCGTCACCAGGTTCCTGTTGCTGCCGTCGGCTGGGTAACGGCTATCTGTGGGGGGGGGGGAAGCGGGGTTAAACGGAGAAATACGGACGCCATAAAGAGGCTCTAACCCTCCTTTACTCAGAGTAAAAAAATTATTCAGAAGTTCCTCATTCTATAAACCCTTCTGTGCAGACATGGGAACGTTCATCCTACAAGGCACATTCCTGCTCAGTGGGAAAATTATACGGTGCAAACATAATAAAACTTTTTTTTTTTTCAAACAGAATATCTGATCTCTTTCCAAGAGCTTAAAGGTAAACCGTCGGCTCTCGCCTCTACAGGCTCAGAGCTGGAGGCTCGTTAAAACTTAAAAACACGAAGCTCTAAGCTGGAAAAGTTAGTTTAAAGACGGTTTTATTTCCCGACCTGCGGAGTCCCTGCTGTGTCCCAGGTCGTGCAGGCCCCTGTAGTTACACATGTCGTCATGGCAGCACTCCAGCGTCAGAGAGTCAGCGGCCCGTTGGCTGCTGCAGACGTCGGCGGCGTTGGAGACGGGGACTAAGCAGCCGTGGGTGAGCGGCGAGTTGGCGCTGAGCGGGTCCAGCACCTTGGTGAAGCAGGCGTTCAGTTCGGATTTGCACATGTACCCGGTGGCCACGCAGTGCGGAGCGTCGCAGTAGCACCTGATCTCTCCTGTTTGGAGGGAGAAAAAAGAAAGTGTCAGAAAACAAAAACGTTTTTACCCAAATTGATCATTTCTGCACCTTTGAAACCCCCGAGCTCTGCGTCTTTTTCCAACACAGAGATAAAAATCTACTTTAGAGGTGGGGGTTCAGTCTAAAGCTACCTTATCATTACAGCCGCCTCCCTCCACATGTAAACACAGCTAGCCAGGAATCTGCTGATAACCTCCAGCTTTACCTGCAAACTTTAAAGTTTAACAGCAATAAAAGCATTAAGAACTTCCTAAAATACAAACCGATAAGACGCAGCTTTAAAGGCTGAACCTGGAAACTCCTAAAGAATAAAATAAAAATATGCAGCCGAGCTCCTGTGAGAGCGAGCCAACTTGCAGAGCAGGGCGGCATTCATCAGATCAGTGTTTTCCCTGTGAATGATTGGAGCAAAGCAGGCTAAGGCAGGTCATCTGGAGAAGATTTCATTAGAGAGGAGAGCAGAGGGCCCCTTTGTGGGAGCGTTGGGGTCCGATTCTGATGCACGGATGGCAGCTTTCACAACAGGGGTTAAATGTGACTAATAAAAGTGGAACCATGACAGATGAAATGTTAGTGAGGGTTATTTAACCTTTTAGAGGTTAAATCATTTCATCCGATCATAAAAAAAGCATGAAAATCTACTCATCTTAGGCTTTTTTTCCTATTAACTGAAAGTGTTTTAGTTATATTTTTAGACATTAATAGATTATTTATTGATAAATTCATTTAGGATCTGATTTTTGTGTTTTAATTGGTCTGGAAAACATTTGATGGTCTGTATAAAGATAAAATATTTGCAATTAAACTGAATTATGCATTTTAAAAAATGCAACTTAAGTATCAAACATCTTTAAAATGACTATGAAACTATAGAAACTTTAAAGAGAAATAAAATCCTGCTGTTTACTTATTTATTTTTTGTTAGTTCCCACCACTGGAATCAGAAAAATAAAAGACATTTAGACTATTATCTTTGCATTCAAATGTTTTTTTCAACTTAAATTCAATAAAAAGATGCAGAATAGTGCAAGATGTGCAAGAAAATGTAATGTTTTTTCTCTCTAATTAACTGTGCTTTGGATTTTTTTTATCATCTTAATGAATAACTACTTTACGTTGAGTTAAAATTGAATATTTTAATTAAAAACAAAAAAAAAGTCCATATTTGACAATTTAATCTGATATAAACTATAATTAACTCTTATAAATAAACAAACTGATCCCAAGCTGGGTGGTAATTACAGATCAAATCTAAATGAATAAATCAGGAAGCAGACCTCTGGTAAATTAGATTAAAAATAAATAAAAGTTGTGGAATATCCCTTTACTAAAGTTCCCGAAGCTAAAGTTAGCTTAATGGTGGGAACTTCTGAGCGTTGGTTGATTATGTGGGCATGAAGAGGCCGACAAACAAGCCGCGGCCAGCAGAGCAGGTCTGAGGTACCTTTGGTCAGAAGAACCGCCATGGCGCAGAGTTCCAGTTGGAGCCAGATGGAAATGAAGCTGGACTGACGCTCCATTTACCCGGAGTTACAGCGCAGAGACCACGGTTATATCCAGCAACAGAGAAGCCCAGACGGTGGAAGAATAAAAAAAACATACAAAAATAAAAAAAATAAAGTTTCAGTCAGGGTGAAAAACGAGCCATTCAGCTCACCGGCCTGATAACAACGACACCAGGTAGGAAAACAAGCTTCTTCTCCCGCATGGAGACTGAAATGTTAGCGGGTTTGTTTTAGGAAACGCTCCGACATTACCGGACTATAACAAAAAGAACAGATAGTCCTCCGCTCCCAGGACTTGAAAGGAAAAAAAAAAGTTAAATAGAAAGATAAACTCCTCGGGAAATGAAATGGAAAAGTCGTCAGCGCTGCTTCTCCTCCATCACGTTTGTATTCCTGCGCGGAGAAACCGAGAAGAGTAACAGTCCGCTGGGCTGCTGGCTCACACTGGAGACGGAGGCGATTTAACAGGAGAAGGAGCAGCGAGCTGCACAGGCTCCGCCCACTTCCATTCTGATTGGCCAGACCACCGAGACGGGAAATCAATGCGAGCGCCGCTTGAAGGTATATCCGGTACGCGCTTTTCAAAATAAGACATTAACGGTGAGGGTCAGACGCTAAAATTACTAAAATAGAAACAAATAACCTCTACAGAAGAGGGTTAGGGCCACTAAAAAACTAAAAAAGAACAGATTTTTGAATATTATTCCAGTTTAATATGGGGGGAAAAGTCAGAATTCTGACTTTAATCTCAGAATTCTGACTTTAATCTCAGAATTTTGGATCTTAAAGGAAAATTCCGGTTTTTAACACTTTTAGCCCATTTTCTGTAGTGTCCAGGATGAAATCGAATGATCGACACCAAAATTTTGACAATTGGTCCTGTCTCTGCTTTTTGGCTCATGCAGAATCCCCCCCTGGCTGCTTCAGAATGGCTTCCATAGAGCATGTCCGATAATGTCCTTAAAACAACCTTAAACGTTCTTTTTTTAAAATATGCTACTCACCGGGTCGTCAGCGCTGTTCAATGACGTTCCATAAAAAGTTTCGTGAAGAAAAACCGTTCCTGTCTTGTTTTATTTAGCATTTTGTAAATCCCAGAACTATTTTTTCCGATACATCACAACCGCTTATAAACTTCCGCTTTCGGTTCGAATCTGAAGCGTTGCACACTCCAGACCACTAGTTGGCGACGGTATCCTCTACCGTCAAACTCAAAGTCCAATATGTCCTCCTCAAGAATCCACCTTTCGTATTCCATTTTCAGAGTTTTTTAAAGTGTTTAACAGAGACGTTAGCACCTCGACGTCGGAGTACAACGTCGTAAATCCCATTGAGTTCTGTTGGAATAGTCAATATCCCTCCGCCACCGGAAACGGAAATGGGGCCTGTTTACGCTTAGTTGTAGTCTTTTCGCAAGGCCCAAGTGTTTCTGCTTCACTCTGTGTACTCCGACGTCGAGGTGCTAACGTCTCTGTTAAACACTTTAAAAAACTCTGAAAATGGAATACGAAAGGTGGATTCTTGAGGAGGACATATTGGACTTTGAGTTTGACGGTAGAGGATACCGTCGCCAACTAGTGGTCTGGAGTGTGCAACGCTTCAGATTCGAACCGAAAGCGGAAGTTTATAAGCGGTTGTGATGTATCGGAAAAAATAGTTCTGGGATTTACAAAATGCTAAATAAAACAAGACAGGAACGGTTTTTCTTCACGAAACTTTTTATGGAACGTCATTGAACAGCGCTGACGACCCGGTGAGTAGCATATTTTAAAAAAAGAACGTTTAAGGTTGTTTTAAGGACATTATCGGACATGCACAATGGAAGCCATTCTGAAGCAGCCAGGGGGGGATTCTGCATGAGCCAAAAAGCAGAGACAGGACCAATTGTCAAAATTTTGGTGTCAATCATTCGATTTCATCCTGGACACTACAGAAAATGGGCTTTAATAGAAATCCTTAGAAAGAACTCAAGAGATAAATGTTATGTAATTGTTTTTCATTATCTTAGATTAATCAGTGTAACTGAGAGGATTTGAATCTTATTTTGGTTTTATTGGTTTTTGTTTTGTTTTGTTCAGTATAAGTAGGTAGTAGATCCACACTCCATACCAGTTGGTGGCGGTAATGCACCCTTTTGTTGTGTGCCAACTGCCAATAAAATCGCAGAAATGAATTATTTTAATCTGCTATCCAAAATGTATTCTGTTACAACTGGCAGTGAAGGCTTTATAAGCAGCATGGGTGGCTCCAGACAGGGGCCAACAGTTGAGCTGGTCCTCTGTTTAAGACATAATCCTAGATGAATTTATGATAAACTAATGGTGATAAGTACTGAAAATGACTTAAAACACTCAGGAATAGTGGCTGTTATAACATGAGGAGGACGAACATTTAGGTTTATTCTGGTATATTCTGGGAACCCTTCCACAGTGAGCAATAATTGTTAGGTTGATTTATTTCTTTATTGTCTTCAGCTCAGGATGTTTGTGTTTGCAGGTTGTTTGTCTTTTGTGTCTCCACTGACGACAACAACGTCAACCAAAACTTTGCTGGAACAAGCAGTTACTGGCAATGCAGATATTAAATGATCAATGCATTTGTTGTTTATTTAAAATATATATATTTTAACCACATCTTAAATAATTATTTAATTTTCACAATTTTTTTGGTCAATAACTTAATTTTAGTGGCAAGATGTCAATTTTTATAGGCCTTTTTATCGTTAAGCTTTTATTTTCTAAATAATTTGATCTAACTTCCGGTCCTTCTCTGCTTCTTACATTCACACTTGATCCATGAAACTCTTCCACCTTTCATTCATAGTCCTGTTTCCATAATAGCACGTTCCATATGTCATCATTGGCCCGGGCGGTACTCACTTATGTGACCTTATAATTTACACAAACACTGACGTAATCATTAGTATTTCTGTTTACTCTCTAGTTCTCCATATATCACAGTTTTTTTGTGTTTTTTATATATATATTTCAATGAGTAATTATAAATTATTAGCGCAGAGAAGATTAAACGATGTAACCTTAAATCTTTACACTGACGTCAGGTCAAGGTGTCCCGCAGCAGCGGCTACCTGCAGCGTCATCGGCCCCGCAGCCAGGCTGACGCCTTGCTGAGTCGCCTTCCTTCAGGCTGACACACTCCTCTGCTGGGAGGAGCGGACAGCCGCTCAGGGAAATTAGCGATCCAAGAAGCGCATGGCGCCACCCAGGCGACACACGCGCGCACACACCCACAAGCGCGCGCGCAAAACGCGCACAATTACCCTTCACTGAGTAGCAAAACAAAGGAAGGAGAGGTCTGTATGGGTCAGATAACTGTCAATAAAAATAATGCATAGATGTCTGGATTTATAAACGAAGTAATTCATGTTGATAATATCAGGAAAATCAGAACTTAATCTTTGCAACAATCAAAGTGAAAATTCACAAATCTGCAAAACACAAACTTAAAAGTATGAATTTGTACTCGTAAATATATGAGTCGTATTTGAAAAAGGTGATTTGTATTTGTGAATTTGTGATCCAGGCTTGCAATTTTGTAAAGTTGGAACTCTATTTTCTTCTAAGCTTGTATTTTGACAGAAAAATTTCTAATCCACACATATTTATAAGTTAACAACAAAAAAACTAACAGAAATCACAAATATATATCATACAAATATTATTCAAAATTATTGTACCAGTTATTTGACCCCATATATAGTATGAGCTACACAGGCTATGGAGTGAATTTCATTCCATAATTTTTGCAAGCAAAGATTTTTTTTTTTTATTTAACATTTAAACAAGTTCAATAAAGAGATAAAATAATTTAATCAAAAATATTCGATTTTTTTCACTCTCTTTTTTTTTTATTTCTTAATACAAGTTGCATTCTATTAAATTACATTTTGCAGATCCGTTCTCTTCACTTCAAGCCCAGTAGAGTGAAAAGTGAAAAGAATGTAATTCTTAAAACTCAATCTGAATAAAACATTTGGGAAAAAAATAAAAGAAATATAAAATCTGTTTTAAAAAGATTTAGTTTGGAACAATACATGTGTTTTGAATTAAATGTGAAATAAATATATAATTTTGAAAAACAAAATGGAACAAAACAGATCTTCTCAAAACATTTTCTTTTTAAAAATGTAACAAAAAAAAATTCTCAGTTGCATTTTTATTTTTCTTATTTTAATTTACAGTATGTTCTTTGTTTGCAACAATAATGGAACAAAATTCACACCATAAACTGATCTTACTCACCTTCCAGACAGCAGGATGATGATCCTCGCCTGAGGCAACGAAGGAGGCGACACTGCAATTACCGCAATTATGTGCAATTCCACGGAGGCGCCACTCCACGGCTGCTGTTACATCCCGTGCAGAGGGCAGTAAAGGTGGAAGACACGAGTTCAAAATGCCACATCCCGTGGCTTCCAGGGTTTATCGAGATAATAAGATGATTTGGAGACTGGATCTCTGTGAAATGAAATGAAACTGAATCATTTTAAATGATTAATTTATTCCGTTGTTGTCATTAAACTAGATGTTAAACGATCAGATACTTTAAACTGTCTAAATTTCCATCTATATATTTCTAGAAATGCCCCTTTAGCAGCAGCAGAGAGCAGCGATGCTGAAGACCATCCTGATTTGGAGGCGGTGAAACACTGACATCTAGTGGTCAGATTGACCAATAACAGTTTAGTCATTCTGATGTAGGGTCCAAATAAAGAAAATCAACAACCAGAATTTAACACAAATAAAAAGCAGGTTTTTATGCATCCATGTTGTAAATTAAAATTTTAAATACTATATATATATATATATATATATATATATATATATATATATATATATATATATATATATATATATATATATATATATATATATATATATATTTTTTTTTTTTTTTTTTTTATTATTTTTATTATTATTTATTTATTTAATGTTTGTTTTGTTTTTGTTTTTTTTGTTTTTTTTAAATCAAACATTTTTCAATCTTAAAACCAAAATAGTTTTTTGAAGTAGAGAACAACAATAATTCAGTTCGGTATATAGATAATTTCCTGATTCACATATTTTATAAAACACCTGAACTGACTTAAAACCCTCTAAGGCTTTAAACCTGGGTTTGAATGGAGACTAAGCCATTCTCAAGCACATATCAAGGTGCTCATTTTGAGCCTGGATCCAGATTTATTTTTGATTCTTTTTATGGTGGAGAATCCTGCTTCACTGCAGCAGGTTGAGCCAAACATCCTCCTAAATGTGCAGGGTCATCTTTGAGCACCATTTCACTTTTCTTTCACCAGTTCACCGCAGTTCTTCCAGTTGTCCACACTTTCTTTCACTTTAATCATCTCCTTCTTTCCCATGGCCCGGGTTGTCACATTTTTGCCTGCTGTGTCTAAAAGTAGCAGCAGCAGCAACCCAGACTGACAGCTCCGTA